AATTTCCTACGGATTTATCCATAGAACTACGGATTTTTTTACATGATTCCAGATTTTCTGATAAACACAATAAATCTACGGATTTTTTATGGTTTTAATAAATACGTCTATGTTCTTATTCTTAATTTAATTCGGCAACTGTGAATATCGTAGATTCTAAACCTCATTAAGGTGTAAGGGTGGACCATGAGCATGAACGCACAGACCTTTATGCCTCTTACACACGGACGGTATCGTTTTAAATGCCGATCGGCAAAACAACCGACTAAATTTTAAATTACACATAGTTAAATACATACATCTTTACACACAAAAACGTTGCCGGCAAGTCTGACAGTCGGCTATTGATCGGTAAAACAACGCCCGTGTGTATCGCCTCTTACACACGGACAGTATTTTGCTGATCGGCATTTAAAACGATCGGCAAAACAACTAATTAAATTTTAAATTACACACAGTTAAATACCTACATCTTTACATACAAAAACGTTGCCGTCAAGTGTAGTCCACGGGCCCACGTACAAAGAAAAAAATGATTACCAGCAAGCTGTAACTTTGCGTGCAGCTTAAGTTTGACGAGTCTCACAAGATTTGACTACTAGGAAAATTCAACAGTGGTAAGTTTTCCCGTGATTTTCAGGAAAACATGTCAATCTGGCATAGACATGGAATGTTATGACCAGCACTTTTTTTTAGTTTAAATAAAAGATATATTCTTTTTAAACCCCCCAAAATATTTGTCCGACAAAAATGTTGGGTATTTTGAGTTTGTCCGCCACCCCAAATATGTTGATTTGGTGACATTATGGTTGGTGACAACCAGCAAGCTGATTTTTCTGGGAGGGTTTGGTAATAAGATTTGAAATGAAAGTATCTTATTGTCCGACAAAATTCTTGAGAAGTTTTTGCAGTCCGACGCCCCGAAGATGTCGACTTAACGACAACATGGTTGGTGATAACCAGCTGTCGGACAAAAGCGTCATTATTTAAAAAAATGCAATATTAATCTGAGAATTTAATTGTCCGACAAAATTATCGGTTTTTTC